GACAAATTTCGATTAGCGGTATGAAATGAGGAAAATTTTGGAGTGAGGCTGGTCGGAAAGGATGAGTAGAACTGAACTCGAACTCTGGAAGAAGGTAAGGTCACACCTCTCTTTCCATGAGATTTAACGAGCGACGATGCAGAGCTAGGCAAAGAATGAATATAGTAATAACAATGAGATCATCTGCTCCTCTTAAACGTTCTTCGTAGAAGGAGGAATTCATGAATTTCGTCATAAAGCACACGGCGTTCAGCGGAACGTGCGAACGAGCAGACGTTTACATTCGATGCCGAAATTGAGCAAAAGCATTTCTCATCTATTTCCTGAAAACATAAGATATGTACGGTATTCTCATACATCCGCTGTCCTGAAAAATCATTAATTTCGTCTTGACAGCTTTCAACAATGTTGTCTGGGAAGTCAAGTGAAAGTGCAAAGTTCTCACCGGCTCTTGAAAGAACAAGTGCTGACCATCACCGGTCTGTATTAATAATCAGATGGACTCAGAGGCTAGCAGCTGCCTTGGTTTAATAAAGCGGTTCAAATAGAACAAGAAAATATGCTCAAAACATTTTATCAAAACCAACGTTCCATTGGCTACAACGTTGCAACATCTGAATGAGGTAGACCCGCTTGCCACGAGGAAACGGTCACTGCCAATCTGCGGAAAATGTTATCTGATATGAATGTAGTCAATATGAAATGCCATATCTGCAGCCAGAAGGTCACTCTGCAGCTTAGGCTCTGTAAACAGGAAACTGCTTCACATTCATTCTGCCTTGGCTAAGTTACAGACTGTTGTGGGAGTTTGTGAAAGTTGGCGATGTTCTCTAGCCGTCCAGTCGCTGTGGCTCTAATGGGTCATCGACATCGCCAAGTTAACCAGAATTTACTGGATACATGGAATTTTGCAAGAACTCTGCCGGGTAATTAGGATGTTCACTGAGTTATTAGAGGAAATGATATTGGTCTACTTCAAACCGAGGTATAGTCGTTCATCACGTCATTGGAGATGATCGTAATGAAGAAATGGAAATGAAAGGAAATATTGGTTACACCCTGTGATCATGATTATTGTGAATATTCAGCTATCAGATAGGTCAGGTTGAAGTACACATCGGAAACAGGGTCGTACATCTCGACCACACCAGAATACCATTATGTTCCTTCTGTTTTCAAGTTGACCACTTACTAGCTGTTTCTCGGCTGCTTGTGTCGAAGCAACGCACGATTAATTCATTTTTCATGAATGACAAAGTCTTTCTCTTGAACAGATTAAAACCTGGCATTTACCGAGTTCGCGGACATCATTCTAGCCACCGCCAGTGATAATAGATGAAGTAAAAATTTGGCGAAAATGAGGATTAAAATAATCGGCGATTATTAAGCACGAAATGATGTTTAGCAAAATTATGTGATACTCATCAAAATTAACCATACAATCTTAATGCTCCGTGAACCATGCAGGGACTAGCGATTCGAAGAATTATTCAGAACTTCTTATTCACCTGACTGCCAGACGGTGCGAAAGACTTTATTTGCTGAAGTGTTTGTTTAAATAGCATAAGCTGGCGGTTGATGACCAGTCGATCTGATAGTAACATAGGAGAAAACGGATGGTCAACGTTTGAACACAAGTTTGGTCACCAACTGACCCATTCCGAAAGTATCCCAATGGTAGACCACATTGCAATGGACGGGTCATTCTAGAAATTTATCGATAAACGTCCGTGTGATAGCGTCCGACAAGTACTTCAGAGATGATTTATGAATATTATATTATGAAAGTGGGGGCTTCATTTATTTTTGTACCAATGACGCCTCTTTAGCAATGCGCAAAGATTTCCATGACAGGAAAGATAGGACGACTTCAAAGTTTTGTCCTCATTGTTACTTTAAACTCCGTTCTGAAATAAGGTTCGAGGAGCTGCTGGAGAAGATCTCGTTACACGTTTCTAACCACTGTTCAGTCGTGCAGCAACACCCTCACCAGAAAGACGTAACAACTCATAGATCAGTTCAAACGTACAAAACATGATTAGCAGAGATGTTATCGAACGAGCCAGTAGCTCAGAGCTGGCCATCGATCATATTTCACCTGCTAGTGATTAGTGATTAGAGTGTTACGGAGTTAAAAATGTTTGTTTTAATGTTTGGAGATTGATTTGATCATTTTGAAAGAAGAGTTTTAAAAATTAATAAAAAACTGCTTTCAGTGCAAAAATGGAATAACAGTGAGAACAAATAGTTATATCTACAGATGGGACAATTGTAAAAGTTTTAAAACTCTCTTAGGATTTAAAATGTGATGTTTTCATATCTGCTTGACGGTCATCGTAAGAAAGTCTTATCATTAACGGTATTCGATATGGCGTCGAAGCGACCGATTAGATTAGCAGCAAAGAGTACTTTTGGTAATTTTATAAGGGTGTATGACCTTCAAGGAAGGATCATACAAAAAAAATGACTGACAGAAACAAAATTCTAGGCAGACCATGCTGTTGCTACGTAGACATATAGAGGGTCATTCTAAGTAACTAGCCATTCCTTCTTCACTTGACCAGTAAACCATGTGAATGACACGAATGCCTTTAAGGAATCAACCAATCGAATCGCAGCAACAACTGTCACATGGGTCTATGAACTGCAGTAAGCAATGCTGATCGATTCTACTAGCCGGCTACTCATGAAGTTGATGAAAAAGTCTTTCGAACGTTCAGGAAATCGATCCGATTTAAGGCCATTTTTAGCATACAGAACGCTGTTGTCGTTCGGCTTTACTTCTTGTCGCCAGTTTCTACAAACAGCCGGAAGGACAACAAAAGATCCATGCAAATAGTTTATTGATCAGGCTTCAGAAGAGGAAATTTATTTACTGCATGTGTTAATTTTTGTCGACACTTTCTGCATCATGCATGCTTTCTTCGGGTATATTGTGATCGAACCAATAAGTGTGTCAATAAGAACACCTGTTGCTCAAAGAAGTATAAGTAATTGATTGATTGATTTTATTTGCCATGTATTAAAGAAACTCTAAGTCCAATCGATAAGTGAATTACCACTGTTCAAAATTAGTGGCGATCGCCATTGTCTAGTTTCGATGCTCACGTTCAGTTGCATCGTGCTATTTGTCACCACAAGCATCCATATCTTCCTTTCGGTCCATCTTCTCATCTGAGCCGAGGTCCTCCAAATAGCCGCTTGCAGCTGCTTGAGTACCAGTCCTTCACTGTTGAAATCTTTCGTCATCTGTCAGTCTCGCGAGGTAGTCTGATTTAAGGAGTACATAGGCTAGTGGGGAACAACTTTAGTTTGCGCTTTCCATTTCTTTCGATCTAGAGAAATGGTTTTGGCTGTTTTCCGCGCTTACCAGGGGTCTGGGTCAGAACGACATATCCTTATCTTTGTCAGGGACTAATATTTCAGTCCTGTGATGGGTAACTGAAAGCAGCGCCTTAAGATGGAATCTGAGGCGGATAAGAGTACTACTGTCACAATCACAGAGTTATTGTTTGTCATGATCACCTCCCGGCGACGCTTGGAGTTGCGGAATGACTCTCTATTTTTGCTGCCCATAACTTTCCGGCATTTCAGGTAACAAATAGCTGCATTGCACAGAAAAACAGATTCTTCCTGCCCACAAATTTGCCTATGTCCTGTTTGTCCATGATGCATGCTTGCATCCGGCTCCAGCGTGAGAAGCATTCCATCCTGACTAGATAAATGGTTTATGCGCAGCCAGCTTCGTTGACCATCTCAATGCCTATTTTGAATCTCCGCATCCATAGAAATACTTCTGCCTAGAAATGCACAGAATCATTTCCCACATTATAAGTAGTAATGCGCTCTCATTTTGCGTCGAAGTCACGTGTTCAATACGCTACTTAATCACGGTTCTCCT